CCCTGCTTTTTGTTTTTAATATGAGATTAGTTATCTTAACTTTGTAGGAAGAACATTGGATAGATTACCACCAAAGAGTAAGGTCTACGAATCAGATCCTCCAGGGCAGTATTTTCCAAACTGTACTCTACAGGACACTGGGACTTCTAAGGAACCCTCTTAGGAGCCTCCTCAAGAAGGGACTAATAGCTAATAACAATTAATTAATACTTACTGAATTTTTAATTGTGTGCCAAGCACTATGCTAAGTCTTGGCCTGTATTATCTCATGTGAGCCTCCCAGTTGTTCTTTGAATTCAGTATTGTTGTGAGGAAGCTGATGCTCAGACAGGTCACCCAGCTAGTAAGTGACCAAAGCAGAATTCAGTCCCAGACCTATCTGACTCCAAAGCCCTTGCCCTCCACAGGCAAGGACACAGGTGTGCTCCTTCCCATCCCTTCCTCCACTATGTCTCTTTACCAGAAGTAAAAGACAGAGTTTGACATTGTGGAAAGCGAACTGGAGGGTGGGAACTACACTGTTGACTAGGCGTTGGGATAGAGCACATGAAGACCTGCCACCCTTTGATGCCCTCTCTACAAGTCTCAGGGTCTTGCTTTCTCACTGCATCCTTAGCCATGTTTTGCTTATAGCCCTAACAACCATTCATGTCAATATACGACCTCAAAAATTGTGGAAAAAAAAAATACTACCTTTGAGAATGTACTCCCCGACAGCTGTTCACTCTGCTACCCTCACCCCTACATCACCCTACCTATCGACCAGGATAGTTCAGCTTTCATATGCCTCTTGGTGTACTCTTCTGTGTGAGATCTTATTTGAAAGAAGGGTGCTTTTGGCCAGAAAGAGCCTACTAGTGTCTGCCCTAGAACAAGTCAGGTATTCATTTTTTTTTAAGATTTTATTTATTTATTTAAAAGAGAATGGGAGCATGAGCAGCAGGGAGGGGCAGAGGGAGAGGGAGAAGCAGACTCTCCACTGAGCAGGGAGCCAACTCGGGACTCAATCCCAGGACCCTGGGATCATGACCTGAGCCCAAAGGCAGACGCTTAACTGACTGAGCCACCCAGGCGCCCCTAGGTATTCATTTTTTAATCCATATTCTACTTAGCCAAAATGTAAGATAGGTACCTTGTATCACAAAATATCTGAGGATAAACAAATTCATTCCTTCCTTAGACTTCCACTGATTAAATGCCTACTCTTTACAGAAGAACATACTAGTGCCTTGTGGGGCTAAAACTGGGATGAGGGATTGAGATCATGCTGTACGTGATCAGATGGGGGAGAATTAGAGCTACAAAAGGAAGAGACCAAGCGCTCTTCAAGGACCTAGTCATTCCTGCCAGGGTATCAGGGGAGTCTTCAGTTCAAAGATGGCATCAGGGCTGATTCTGAAGAGATGACTGAAGTTCCAGAGGAGGAGAGGAGCGTGTGAGGCAAGAGGGGCAGCCAGGAACATTCTCAGAGATTAGGGAGCAGTCTTGTGACACTAGCATGATGTGGGTTTGGAGAGAATTTGGAGAGAAATGGTGGGAGGTAAGTATGAAAACATAAATACTACAGATTTAACTTCTCAGTTTGTATATTCAGAAGTCATCTTTCAAGAATTTCTGTTTTAAGACCTTTTTTTTTTTTTAAAGCTTTTATTTATTTATTCATGAGAGACAGAGAGGCAGAGGGAGAAGCAGGCTCCCAAGGAACAGGGAGCCCGATGCGGGACTCGATCCCAGGACCCTGGGATCATGACCTGAGCCGAAGGCAGACGCTTAACCATCTGAGCCACCCAGGCGCCCTGTTTTAAAACTTTTTAAACGATTATATTTTTAATGTATGATTTACTTTTAAATGCATGAAATGGATCAACATCTTATTTCTCCTTTTCTTAGGTCACGGGACATCCTTTAATATTGACTGCAATATCTGTTCTTGTTTTGCTGGCAATTTGGTGTGTTCTACCCGCCTGTGCCTCAGTGAGCACAGTTCAGAAGATGACCGTCGCACCTTCACAGGTAACCAAGGCCACCCAGAACCTGTCCTTAGCAGCCATCATCCCTTTGTACCCATTTCCCATCAAGGCAGCCTCACTGGTCTTGCCATAACTGCAAATGTACACAGTAAAATAAATACATAATCTGAGAACAGGATACTTGCCCTCTCTGGATCTGTTTCTTCCTCTGTGAATTGAAGGCATTGAACTAAATGGTTTCCTAGGACCCTTCCAGCACTAATATTCTGAAATTCCATGGGTTAAAAAGATCAGGGCCAAGTGATTGGGATGGTTTTGGTTAAATGGAACTTTTCTATCTGCTAAAATACCCCATCCACCCCTACCATTATGTTATAAAATGTATTTTCTAAGTTTGTTTGTGTTATAATGTTTTTCTCATCACCTTCTTCCCTGTCCTGCCTTAGCTTACTAGTTCATTAGGTAGAGACCCCTATAAGTAAAGCTATAGGTAGAAAAAGTAAAGAATGCTCCTTCCAATCTAGCGTTTAAAATCTAGAAGTTAGATGTATAAAGTCTGGCTTGGGGGATTTCTGGAATGTCAAAAGGTAATACCAAAAACAAGATAAAGACAAAGGTTGTAAACTAATCATGTAGGTTCCTTCCACTCTTCATCGCCTTAGGGAAGGGGAAGAACAAGAAGGTAACTTGGGAAATTATTGTAATTTTGAGACTTGGGCATTTCTATGAACATCTCTGAGTTGTGTTTGGACTGGGACAATATCTGAGTCCCAAGAAATGTGGTACACTTTGTGCCGTAAAATCTCCTTAGAGTCTGCTAGCTAAACGGTCATTACCTTACTTTATCCCAGGACATGAGGGGCTACACACCACAGGGAAAAAGGGTCCTGCTAATTGTACAGTTCATCTTCCAAATACATTTAGATGTAACTAAGTAAATAAATAAGTAGTTTTCCACAAAAATCTTTAATCTACTCTTCATCCCCAATGGTTTTATGGTTTCTCTAAGCAGAATGAATTGCTCTCATCAAAGCAGAGCAGATAAAGGATAATAATAAGGATAACAACAACAACGATGACAGTAAAGCATCAAGGTTGGTACTCAGGGTAGATAGAGGGTGGGGCGGGGTTAATCCTGTCTTCACTTCCCCAGCAGCCTGCTGTGCACTTCTTATTTCTGATTTCCTTTTTATTTCCAATGGGCTGGAGGTACAAGGTCAGTAAATCCCTAATCTATTCTCTTCCCGCCCCTCTCCATGTGTCATACTAACTCCCGGGAAAGAAGAATCAACTTGCTGCTGCAGACACATGAAATGAAGTAAATTTAGGAGGCTACCTTTCTTCTCTTTACCCAGTACCAAGGGTATTTCAGATCTGGAGCAAAGCAGATCCCAGTAGATAGCAAGAGACCATGCTGTTGCTTCTCAAGAAAAGAGCATCGCATCTCATTGGCCTTTTTGCTTCCTGAAGCATAACCCAGCAGCATAAAGCATGGGAATGTCAAGAAAGTAGTGTCCTTGATTGACTGCTTATAAACATTTTTAAGTCTCAAAATTACAGTAATTTCCCAAGTTACTTTCTCATTCTTTTGTTATTACCCTTTAACATTCCAGAAATCCCCCAAGCCAGACTTCAGACATCTAAATTCTAGATTTATACACTAGATTGGGAGGAGCATTCTTTACTTTTCCTACCTATAGCTTTGTTTATATGGGTCTCCATCCCTGGGATCAAGGTCTGAAGGCCTCAATTAGCTGGCAATAAATGGAACAAAGGAAAGCCATTATGCAGACAAATGGCTTTTCAGAGCCTTGCCACCTTTAAAAGCACTATCCGAGATTGGAGGGATGCTTTTTCCTGACTTAATTCACAATTCTGTTTTCACTTGGGAGCTCCATGTTAATTAGGAAATATGATGGGCAGGGGAATGTACAAGTACCCGTAACTGAGTCTGTGTCCTCTCCACAGGTCTGCCCTGTAACTGTGCAGATCAGTTCGTCCCCGTGTGTGGGCAGAATGGACGCACTTACCCCAGTGCCTGCCTTGCTCGCTGTGTGGGACTCCAAGACCATCAGTTTGAATTTGGATCATGCATCTCAAAGGATCCATGCAATCCTAATCCCTGCCCAAAAAACCAAAGGTAAATTAAATAGCTCCTTATCTTTTTCTTTTTTAAAAAAAGTTTTTATTTTAATCACCTGGTGCTCATCGCCTATTTCACCCATCCTCCCACCCACCTCTCCTCTAGTAACCATCAGTTTGTTCTCTATAGTTGAGAGTCTATTTGTTGGTTTGTCTCTCTCTCTTTTTTGCCCCATGTTTGTCTCTTAAATTCCACATCTGAGTGAAATCATATGATATTTGTCTTTCTCCGACTTACTTCACTTAGCATTATACTCTCTAGCTCCATCTATGTTGTTGGAAATGGAAAGATTTTATTGTTTTTTATGGCTGAATAATATTCCATTGTGTATATATGTATACCACATCTTCTTTATCCATTCGTCAATTGATGGACACTGGGCTGCTTCCATATCTTGGCTATTGTAAATAATGTTGCTATAAACATAGAGGAGCATGTATCCCTTTGAATGAGTGTTTTTGTATTTTTTGAGTAAATACCCGGTAGTGCAATTGCTGGATTGTAGGGTAGTTCTATTTTTAACTTTCTGAGGAAGCTCCATACTGTTTTCCACAGTGGCTGCACCAGTTTGCATTCCCACCAACAGTGCAAGAGGGTTCCTTTTTCTCTACATCCTCGACAACACTTGTTGTTTCTTGTGTTGTTGATTATAGCCATTCTGACAGGTGTGAGGTGATATCCCATTGTAATTTTGATTTGCATTTCCCTGATGATGAGTAATGAGCATCTTTTCATGTGTGTATTGGCCATCTGTAGATCTTCTTTGGAGAAATATCTGTTCATGTCTTCTGTCTATTTTTTAACTGGATTATTTGTTTTTGGGGTGTTGAGTTTTATAAGTTCTTTATGTATTTTGGATACTAACCCTTTATCAGATATGTCATTTGCAAATATCTTCTCCCATTCTGTAGGTTGCCTTTTAGTTTTGTTGATTGTTTCCTTTGCTGTGCAGAAGCTTTTTATTTTGATGTAGTCCAAATAATTTGTTTTTGCTTTTATTTCCCTTGCCTCAGGGGACCCATCTAGAAAAAAGTTGCTACAGCCGATGTCAGAGAAATTACTGCCTGTGTTCTCTTCTACGATTTTTATGGTTTCAGGTCTCACATTTAGGTCTTAAATCCATTTTTAATTTATTTTTGTGTATGGTGTAAAAATGTGGTCCAGTTTCTTTCTCCTGCATGTTGCTGTCCAATTTTCACAACACCATTTATTGAAGAGACTGTCTTTTTCCCATTGGATATTCTTTCCTGTGTTGTCAAAGATTAATTGACCATATAATTGTGCGCTTACTTCTAGATTTTCTATTTATCAATCTATGTGTCTATTTTTGTGCCAGTACTATATTGTTTTGATTACTGCTTTGTAGTATAACTTGAAGTCTAGAATTGTGATGCTTCTAGCTCTGCTTTGCTTTTCAAGATTGTTTTGGCTATTCAGGGTCTTTTGTGGTTCCATAAACATTTTAGGATTATTTGTTCTAGTTCTGTGAAAAATGCTATTGGTATTTTGATAGGGATTACATTAAATGTGTAGATTGGTTTGGTTAATATAGACATTTTAACAGTATTTGTTCTTCCAATCCATGAGCATGGAATGTCTTCCCATTTCTTTGTGTCATCTTCAATTTCTTTCATCAGTGTTTTATAGTTTTCAGAGTACGGGTCTTTTACCTCTTTGGTTAGGTTTATTCCTAGACATTTTATTATTTTCGGTGTAATTTTAAGTGGGATTGTTTTCTTAATTCTCTTTCTGCTACTTCATTATTGGTGTATAGAAATGCAACAGATTTCTGTAAATTGACTTTGTATCTTGGAACTTTATTGATTTTGTGTATCAGTTCTAGCAGTTTGTTGGCGGAGTCTTTCTGGTCTTCTATGTATAGTGTCATGTCATCTGCAAATAGTGAAAGTCTTTCTTCCTTACTGATTTAGATGCCTTTTATTTCTTTTTGTTGTCTGATTGTTGTGGCTAGGACTTCCAATACAAGGTTGAATAAAAGTGATGAGAGCGGTCATCCTTGTCTTGTTCCTGACCTTAGGGGAAAGGCTCTCAGTTTTTCACCATTGAGGAGCTTGTTGCTGTGGGTTTTTCATATATGGCCATTACTATGTTGAGTTATGTTCCCTCTAAACCTTTGTTGAGGGTTTTTCTCATGAATGGATATTGTACTTCGTCAAATGCTTTTTCTGCATCTACTGAAATGATCATATGGTTCTTATCCTTTCTGAGTGATGTGATGCATCATTTGATTGATTTACGAATATTGAACCACCCTTGCAACTCAGGAATAAATCCCACTTAATTGTGGTGTATGATTTTTTAAATGTATTTTTGGATTCAGTTTGCTAGTATTTTGTTGAAGGTTTTTGCATCTATGTTCATCACAGACATTGGCCTGTAGTTCTCTTTTTTGTGGTATCTTTATCTGGTTTTGGCATTAGGGTAGTGCTGGCCTCATAGGATGAATTTAGAAGTTTTCCTTCCTTCTCTATTTTTTGGGATAGTTTGAGAAGAATAGGTATTAACTCCTCATTAAATGTTTGGTAGAATTCGCCTATGAAGCCATCTGGTCCTGAACTGTTGTTTATTGGGAGTTTTTAAATTACCGAATCAGTTTCTTTGCTGGTAATCAGTCTGTTCAAATTTTCTATTTCTTCCTGTTTCAGTTTTGGTAGGTATATGTTTTTAAGAATTTATCCATTTCTGGGTTCTCCAATTTGTTGGCATATCATTTTTCATAATATTCTCATAATGGTTTGTATTTCTGTGGTGTTTATTGTTATTTCTCCTCACTTGTGATTTTATTTATTTGGGTCCTTTCCCTTTCTTTCTTGGTTAAGTCTAGCTAGAAGTTTTTCAATGTAATTGATCTTTTTTTTTTTTTAACTAGCTCCTGGTTTCATTGATCTGTTGTATTGGTTTTTGGTTTTTTGTTTATTTTAGTTTCTATATAACTTATTTCTGCTCTAATCCTTATTATTTCCTTCCTTCTGCTGGTTTAGGTGTAAGATTAGGTTGTTTATCTGAGATTTTTCCTGCTTCTTGAGGTAAGCTTGTATTGCTATAAATTTCCCTCTTAGAACCGCTTTTGCTGTGTCCCAAAGGGTTTGGACCACTGTGTTTTCATTTTCATTTGTTCCCATGTACATTTTTATTTCTTCTTTTATTTCCTGATTGACCCATTCATTTTTAGTAGCATGTTACTGAACCCCCATGCATTTGTGGTCTTTCCAGATTTTTTTTGTGGTTAACTTCTAGTTTCATAGCATTGGGTCAGAAAAGACGTATGGTATAACTTCAGTCTTTTTAAATTTGTTGAGGCTTGTTTTGTGGCCTGATATGTGATCTGTTCTGGAGAATGTGCCATCTGCACTGGTCCAGTGTGTCATCAAAGCCATTGTTTCCTTGTTGATTTTCTGTTTAGATGATCTGTCTATTGATTTCAGTGGGGTGTTAAAGTCCCCTACTTTGTATTATTATCAATTAGTTCCTTTACGTTTGTTTGTTATTAACTATTATATGTATTTGGGTGCTCCCAAGTTGAGTGCATGATTATAATTGTTTTATCTTCTTATTGGATTGTACCCTTTATTATTATATAGTGTCCTTTGTCTCTTGTTACAGTCTTTGTTTTAAAGTCTATTTTGTCCGATATAAGTATTGCTACTCTGGCTTTTGACATCCATTTGCATGATAAATGTTTCTCTATCCCCTTACTTTGAATCTACAGGTGTCTTTAGGTCTAAAATGAGTCTCTTATAGGCAGTATACAGATGGGTTGTTTTCTTATCCATTCTGTCAGCCTATGTCCTTTGATTGGAGCATTTAGTTCATTTACATGCAAAATAATTATTGATAGATATGTACTTATTGCCATTTATTGTGGTGGTTTCTGAAGATTTCCCTGATCCTTTCTTGTCTTTCTCTCATTAGCTGGTTTTCTTTAATGATGTATTTGGATTCCTTTCTCTATTGTTTGCATATTTATTAGTGGTTTTTGAATTGTGGTTACCATTAGGTTTGTATATAACATTGTCTGCATACAGCAGTCTATATTAAGTTGATGGTCATTTAAGTTTGAACTCATTCTTTACTCCTTTTCTCCCCACATTTTAGGTATATGATGTCATATATTACATCATTTTACTTTTGTGAGTTCTTTCATTTTTTTTACAGAAATACTCATTTTTTACTCCTTTTGTTTTTTCTACCTTTATACTGTAATTTTTGATCTTTACACTCAAAGAATACTCTTTAATATTTCTTGTAGGGCTGGTTTAGTGGTCATGAACTCCTTTAGTTTTTGTTTGTCTGGGAAGCTCTACCTCTCCTTCTATTCTGAATGATAGCCTTGCTGGATATTCTTGACTGCAAGTTTTTTTCCATTCAGCACTTTGAATATATTATGCCACTCCTTTCTGGCTTGGAAAGTTTCTACTGAAAAATCCACTGATAGCCTTATGATGTTTCTTTCCTAAGTAACTGTCTTCTTTTGTCTTGTGGCTTTTAGTATTTTTTTCTTTATCACTGTGTTTGGCATTTTAATTACAGTATGTCTTGGTGTGGTTCTGCTTTTATTGATTTTGTTGGGGGTTCTCTGTGCCTCCTGGATCTAGATATCTGTTTCCTTCCCCAGATTAGAGAAATTTTCAGCTGTTATTTCTTCAAATAAATTCTCTGATCCCTTTTTCTCTCTTCTTCCTCTGGGACTCCTATAGCATGAATGTAATTATGTTTGATGGAGTCACTGAGTTCCCCAAGTCTTTTCCCATTTTGCATAATTCTCTTTTCTCTCTTTTGTTAAGGTTGATTACTTTCCATTACTCTGTCTTCTAGGTCATTAATTCATTCCTCTGCTTCTTCCAGCCTGCTGTTCGTTCCATCAAATGGGTTTTTCATTTCGTTTATTGAGCCCTTTATCTCTATGTTATTCCTTATCTCTGCGTTAAGTGTCTCACCGATGTCCTCCACCCTTTCCTCAAGTCCAGTGAGTATCC